AGGCGGGGAGGGCAGTTATGGGGGGGGGCACAAGTGACACGGGCAGAATGGGGGTGCGAGGGGGCAGGGAGCGGAAAGCGGAGCAGGGAGGGAGCGGAGAGCAGAGCAGCTGATTGGGGCGGAGTGGAAAGCGGGGAGCGGAAAGCAGAGCAGCTGATGGGGCAGGAGCGTAGGGCTGGGAGCGGGAAGCAGAATAGTGGATTGGACTGAGAGCATGGGGCTGGGAGCGGAAAGCAGAGCAGTGGATTGGACTGAGCACAGGGCAGGGAGTGGAAAGCAGAGCAGCCGATGGGGCAGGAGCACGGGGCTGGGAGTGGAAAGCAGAGCAGTGGATTGGACCGAGAGCACAGGGCGGGGAGCGGAAAGCAGAGCAGCCGACGGGGCAGGAGCACGGGGCTGGGAGTGGAAAGCAGAGCAGTGGATTGGACCGAGAGCACAGAGGAGCGGCCGACGGGGGAGGAGCAGGGGGCTGGGAGTGGAAAGCAGAGCAGTGGATTGGACTGAGCACAGGGCAGGGAGTGGAAAGCAGAGCAGCCGACGGGGCAGGAGCACGGGGCTGGGAGTGGAAAGCAGAGCAGTGGATTGGACCGAGAGCACAGGGCGGGGAGCGGAAAGCAGAGCAGCCGACGGGGCAGGAGCACGGGGTGGGAAGCGGGAAGCAGATTTCCTAGTTGGGCAGAGCAGTAAAAGGGTTGCTAAAATGCCTTGGCTGGGCGTGAGGAAGGCAGGCTTATTTACACGTCCGTAGTCCGCGCTGCGCACGGGGCTGCCCAGAAACGTACGGGAAAGACGGGCCCTGTCCTAGCGCACCGGCGTGACCTCGACGTGGGTTCTCGCGTCTCCTTTTTCACCGGCTGCGCGGCCCGAGCAGATTGCCCACCCCGAAATCTCTCTGAGCAAACCAGCTAAGGCCGACTTTCATCTTTTTTTTTTTCTCTCTCCTTACCGTTCGTTGCAGATATCGAAATGACTTCCATGCTGACCCGCGCTATCCGAAGCCTCCCTGCTGCCTCAGCACGGGCTGTTGGACTCTGTAAGCATCTTTCTGTTTATTACCAATCAAATAGATGCAACCCAAAGGGATGCAAACATCTAGTTATTCTGAAGAAGCGGGTTTCAGGTGGACTTGGGAACGATCCCTGCATCCAAGTCTCATGCTAACGAGTGATTAGGAAAAAAAAAATGCTGCTTTTAAATTCATTTCTACCTAGGAGAACTTTTACAATCTTTTCTCCTAGGCTTGAAGAAGGGTGCTTGTGCCTGAAAGCTTGCAAATAAAGAATTTTTTTTGCAAACCTCTAGTTAGTCTAATAAAAGATATCACCTTTACCACGAGTTCTGGTTCTTTCTGCTTTTAAAACGCAGTTTTCTTACCTTCTTGCTGTGAAAATAGCACGTATGCTGGTTATACGTAACATGCTGTTGAACGCGCAGTCAACTGAAAAAAACCCACCTTTTTGCCAAATGCTTAACTGCAGCTGCTTTTGGTTACTTGGAACAGAAGTAAGAAAAGACCCAGCAGTTGTTAAAGAGTTCAGGTAACTTCCAGTAATTGTTTTGCCTAAAGACTGGAAAATTTTATACGTTTTCTCTTTATTTCAGCTGCAAGATCACTCAGCTGCTCCCCCCAGTTACAAGCAGCAGGTAAGGTGAAAGCACCAAAAACTTCAGTGGGTCCCTTTGAGAAGAATACATTTACAAACTACCTCCCCTTCCCCAGGTGCTTCCCATATAGATAAACACGGCAGAGGTTTTCTCTCTGTCCCTGTCTTTTTAAAACTAATGAACATCAACATACATTGTTAACTAGGCAAACAAAAACCCATGTTTTTGGAACTGATTTTTCCTTAAGTCCTTTCAACCCAACATCAGGATCCTGAAAGTGAAACCGGTTTGATTATTGTTTGGGTAGATGACAGTTTAAGTATCTCTTGTCTCTTCCTTTTTTAAGTAGGGAACAAATCCGGTTTGTTGGCTCTGACATAGGCATAGGTGACTGGCAGGGCCTATATAGAAAGCCCTGGGTGAGATAAGGACTTCCCTTCAGCTCTTAGTAACAGTTGCAGAGGCGCCGTAGGGGTAGAGAAGGCTCTAGTCACAGCTTGGAAGAGGGACTTGGGCTAGAGCGTGGACTGTGCGGCTCCAGTGGGACATTTGGACAAAGAGAGGATGAGCTGGAAGGGCTTAGGCTCCGTACTTATGCCTGGGCTTCCTGTCTCCCAAGAGCTTCCCCCTGGCAAGGACAGGCTTGTGGCATTAGGTATGAAGTCTGATCTGCTCTGAAAAGGATGCTCAGGCTTCACTGTAGGTCTGTGTAATTAAGCCCTCATAATGTTTACTGAGGATAGTGTTACATGTTATTTCACTGAAACAATTGCTTTAACCCTGAGGGGGTTTTTTCAGTGTCTAAAGACCTGAATTTTAGAGCCCAGAGGCTCTCAGCTGGCAAGTGGCTCCTGCCTACCCTTGGCTCTCCTCAAATTAACCCCCTTTCATAATACAAGTGCACTACACAGTTCTCTTACGTGCACCTTTGCTTGCTGCAACCCCAGCTAGAGCTAGGGCTAAGCTGCTTTCATGTACCATGCCCCTTCTCTGGCGGCTTCTAAACACGATCCCTTTGTACTGTCCTGTGTCTTAAATAAGATTCTTGGCCAGACTGCAACTGGAAGCTGTCCCATTGACTTTTGCATTACGCTCTTGTCCAGGATAGCTTCTGACACTAGTCAGGCAAATGATGCTGTATTGTGACACCTTACAGTGCACTCCACTTGCGTGCATGTTAGATAGGTGCCGAATGCACTTAACTGCATGATCTCGTGCTGCATAACTTGCCTCTTGGTTACAAACACTGGTTATCTGCATAGCAGTTCAGGGCATAAGTACTTGTAATTGCAGTGTTGATGAAACAGATTAGAACCTGCCAAGTTCAGGGCCTCTAAAGAAACCTTGAATTGTTTAGATCCTGGCCATTTCAGGGCTACTATTGGAGGCATAAGGCACTCTAAGAAACAAGGTAACAAACCTGAATGAGGTGGGAAAAGCATAGAGAAGGCTGTTGTTGCAGTTGATATGAATTGTTTGCTTTTTATTGGGGTAAGTTTGTAATTTGTTTTAAGTTCACAGGCTGTGCACTTAAATGAAGTACAGTGTATCTCCCCTTCTGGAATAAAATAAGAGTAGAGAGAGCTGTGAGATTTTTTTTTTCATTGCTAACTACAGAGTATTTCTGATGAAGTGAGCTCTTCCTGTTCAGTTTGTCTGTAAGGTGCATCTCTACCCTGCCTTAGGTCACCTATTACTGTCATATCCATGAGTTGGAAGTTGAGAATAGGAAGTTTTGTTCTCAGCTATTCCACCAGTAGTGGCAGATGAGAAGACCAAAATACAGTGAAGCTAAGTAACGTACCTAGCATCACATCGCCAGCAAGTAGCAGAGATAAGAACCCAGCCCAAATCTCTTCAGTATTTTGCTTTTGATTTGCCCTCAGGACAGTGTTTTCCCCAATTCCTGGTGGCATCTTTTAAAAAATAGAATCTTTCTCTATTTCTGCTTGAATTCTGGTCCACAGTTTGTTTATCTTTTCAAACAGCCCAACCCAAGAGTAAGAAAACCTTGGCCAAAAGTGGTGTGAAGAATGTTGTTGTTGTGGAGGGCGTCCGCATTCCATTTTTGCAGTCTGGTACCTCGTAAGTATGGAGTGAAAAGAAACTATTGTCTAATTACACTGGTTAATAGAAAAAAAAGAAAATGGAAGATGCTTGGCTTGTCATGTTTTACACTCCACTTTATCAGTGGAGGGGAGATCAAACTGCATTAACTTTGTTCTGGGTCTGCAGATCGCTTCATTTCTGTCTTGATATTTGTAGTGCTTTTACTCATAGCAAGGATAATGTGAGTAATGACTACAAAGTGCTTAACGATCTGTTTCTCGCATCTCTGCCGAGAGAACAGTTTGAAGAAAATTGAGGATGAACATTAAGAATTTGCAGGAAAATGAAGTCCTAGGGATGCAAAGGCTGAGTCAGGAAGTTGGTCTTCTTGACTTTCAGTGTTAACAAAGCACAGTTAGTAATGTGCAGCCCTGCCAATCTGTGCTTACCTGCCATCTGTGTGAATGCACCTATGATTGAAAACTGCTTTCAGTCCTCAGGCACAGTCTCAAAGCAGTAACATCTAACAATGACTGCTGTTGACTCCTAGCACAGCAATTGCCGTGCTGATTTTTTTAAATGTATATACCTTTGTTCCAACAACACAGGGGCATACAATGATCATTTCCGTATGAAGAGTAGCTGGAAAGGTGATGCCACAATGCCTCTTTTTATACACATATGTTTAGAATGGTTTGATAACGCAGATTGCTATGTCTTCTTCAAGGAAAGTTATGCGAGTCTTCTGTCTGTAACTTACCTTGTAGGTATGCAGATCTGATGCCTCACGACTTGGCCCGAGCAGCATTGCAGTAAGTAAACTGAGCAAAGGATGAGCTAAGAAAGCTAACTGCCATTGGGGGTGCTGCGACAGGAGCCTGACCTAGCAATGCCAGGATTCCCAGCTTGACCATTAGCTGAGTGACTGTGGACAAGTCACGTCTCCTGTTTCCCAGTCTGCCTGCAGAGGGTGTTACATTTAACCTCAGAACGGTCTTGTGAATCTGAAGGCTTATAAAGAAGGGTTTCCATGTATGCACATTATTAGTGGGATGCTGCTTCATCCCCTGGCATGGCTCTGGGTTCAAGTTAATTGAATTCTGACACTCTGTTTGGAACCCTAATACAAACACAGGCTGTAACCAGATTGGAATAGAGGCTAAGAGGGAATTTCTTGGGAAATCTAGAGGAAGCTACCTGGATCATTTTTATTTTCTATCTCCTTTCATTTCTCTTTTCTCTCAGTTGCCTTTTTTTATCCTAATCTGACTCAATAGCCTTTGTGGGACGGGTTTGAGTTAGAAATAGGTAGGTTTGAAAAGTCATTCCATACATGCCTTGCAGGAGCAGCGTGGAAGCAGGTGTGTGCCAGGACTGGGAGAGACGAACACAGGGGTTTGGCGTTGTTATTTGGGGAGACAGAACATAGAAGGGCTAACGTGCAGCCATGCAGGGCCTTGAAAGTAAGGGTGATGAAGTAGGTAAGAGGGAGAGATCTGAATTGGTCAATAGGTGACATGTGGACAATGCAGAAGGACTGCATGCTGCTATTCGGGCATCTGGTGTACTCTGCTTGACTGGGAGGTGAGCTGCCAGAGATCTGGGTAGCCTTAAGTTTCACTTGTTGTTTCTAGGCAGGTCATTCAAATTTATGTTTAGTTCTATGTACTTAGTCAGTTCTCTGCTGTAGGACTCAGTGCTTTGGCTTCTTTGAAAGGATATCCTGGAGTGTTTGCATACTGCGTTTCTGTTGAATTAGGAAAAAGTGTGCTGCCTGTTTTTCCAGTACTCTGAAAGCATTGAATGTTCTTTAGTGAGGAACTCAAGCCATTGAGTGTTTTGAGAGGTTGGGTTGGTATCCCCAAACCCTGCTCCCCCCCATAATTTTAATTCAAGTGTATCCCAGGCTGGGGAAGGGAGATAATTACTGAATGAGAAGTGTAAAGGGGGAATGGAGTTTCTCTCATCTCTTAGCGTCTATTTCCACTTCACGATTGTGCCTCTGTGGGAGCATGTGAATGTGCAGTATTTTGTTTGAATTCGAAACTAGCTCCACTCTTGCCCCTGTTTGGTAGGTTAATGTTAAAGGTGGATGCTTGAGGATCTTGGTAAAAATACTGTCCTAATGGTTTGTGGATGTGTAACATTCATCTCTGACTTCCCATCCCAGAGGATTGCTGAATCGGACCAATGTCCCACAAGAAGTTGTTGATTACATAGTTTATGGAACCGTCATCCAGGAAGTGAAGACAAGCAATGTTGCTAGAGAGGTGGGTGATAAACCAACTGAAATAAGCTAACCAGAGGCAACTGGTCTTTATGCAAGAACCCACTCACCGCTGCTGTGTAGGGATTTGGGGGAATGTGGTTTGGGAAAGTTGGCCATTCATGCAGCATAATGTACCAGCTAATTGAGCAAGAATCTTTATCCCGTTAAAATCCTAAATCTACCACATATCAATTTATTCTGGTTCTGGATGCTGTAAAATCCCTAATGTGTTGTTTCCTGGAAGGAAGGAGTCTATTACGAGATTACAAATCAGTCTGCCTGCACTGAGTAGTTGGGATCAAATGCTGGCTTGGTAGAAGTACTCGATAAAGGAAAAGAAAATACTGTGGTATTAATAAAGTTGGCTGATCCAAGACGCAGCAGTCAAATGATCTGAAGAGTCTGAGCTTGGCTGTACTTTTGGTTGACAGATAGAGGGCATGACTTGCTATATGTAATACAAGAAAAAGAGTGCAGAAGGTTAGCACTGGAAAGTGACCTCCCCAACCCCAGACAGGATTCTGCTGCCATTAACACAACTTCTGAAGCCGGGGGCGTTCTACCCAACCAGTCTTGTTCCATCAAAATAGATCCCGTGCAAAACTCGTTACTTCATTTCTGCTGAGACTGTATTAGCAGAGCAGGATGTCTCAGATTCCAGCAGCAGCTTATTTTTATGTGTCCAAATGTTTTCTTTGGCTCCTGTCTGTCAAACAAACCTGTGGTTCAGTGTTAACTTGGAAACAAGTTCTGAACTTTGAACTAGTTGGCCACGTGTCAGTTAAGGAGTGTCTTATTGTGTCAGCATGTTCCAAGAGCTTTGAAGGAGGCCTTCAGTCCCTGTTGTGTCAAAGCTTGTCATCGTTTCCATGATGTACCCTGACTTGCAGCTGCAACAAGTATTTGCTGTTCAATTTAGAAGCAAGTGACATCTTGCATTTGGCTGCAGAGTGTTCAAACACTCTCTTCCTTTCTTTTCTTACCTTTGCAAGTGCCCAATAAGGTGAAGAAAATAGGGGGATTTCTGAGCTTTTAAATGTGGTGCAGTGATTTATGAAATTAATGTGCCTGTGTAATTAGGGGTTGCTGATGGTCGTCTACATAATTCGAGAAGGCTTTCAGAATCATGGAGCTGGCTTGCTCTCTGCTTATAATAGGAGGAGGGTTACTCTGTAATCAGTGGGCTCGTAGTGCTTGACTTCTGCTGTCTAGGTAGAAGCTTTACAAATGCTTGCAGCTTGTAGGTTTCTTGATAGCTAGTTGGGAGAGAGTTTCAAGGAGCCAGAAATCCTTTCTTAATGACTCTTCTGCGTTGCCCATAGGCTGCCTTGGGAGCTGGCTTCTCTGACAAAACTCCAGCCCACACAGTCACCATGGCTTGCATCTCTTCTAACCAAGCTATGACTACAGGTATGTTGGCTGCAGCCCCATTCCTCTTCCTTTCCCTTGTCCTTCCTGCACAACCGAGTGAATGTAGCTAAGTGTCCAGAGCAAATTTTCATGATGCTGTTGAACCAGTAATGTGTAACAGACATTATTTAAATACCCACCTCAGCCTTCTGGCAGCTCTTCCAACATCTGCTCCATTCAGGAACATTGTGCACAGCTTCAGTATTGCTCTGAAAGGTAAAGACATGAATTTGATAAGAAAGTTGCTGCTTTCTAAGCTTGCGCCACCTTTAGCGTAGCCCAAACAGAATGAAAATGCAAAAGGCAGATTTCTGTGCCAAATCAGGTTGAGGGAGATGGTCACCTCAGTTTCTTTCATGTAAATAGCAAGAAGTAGAGGCAAAATTACAGAAGGAGGGACAGTATTAATACGAATCGTAATGGTCGAAAGCCCATTATTTTTGGTCAGTCCACTCATCATCCATTTTGTATGCCTCAGATGGATTACTTGAAATGTCATAAGCTAGAGGCAGATAAAAGCAAATTGCTTGGTTATAGCATGTAAGCTTTGGTAAGCTTCTGGTAAGCGTTCCTAGGTTAGACGATTCCTGTTTGGCGAATGCCTTGTGCTTGAGGTGGAAATCTCTTCACACACGTTTAGTTTGGGTATGGGATTCTTGAAGAAGATGGGTGGCTCCTCTTAATTACCACATCCATTTATCAGCTCTTACCAGCTATTGGGAAAGCATACTCTCAGTGACTGCCAGGAGGGGGAGGAAATATTTGGAAAGGGAGTGTGGGAAAGGAAGGAAACAATGAGCATGAACTGTCCTTTTCCCCTTAGACATGTATAGTGTCTCCAAGAATTTTTTTAAAGATTATGGCTGGGGTGTTAACGTACCAAACTTAATTGCCTGCTTAATATTGGGAAGACTTTCCTCTCATTGGATTGTCACAGGCATTTTAAGAGAAGACAGTATAGACATTTTCAGTGTGGCATAATCCCAACATAAAACATGCTCTCTCTCTGACTGTGCTGGCTTTAATTTCCAGAGCTCCTAGAATGTCTTTGGCAATGTTGCCGTTGGCTCATAAATAAAGATACTGTGGTGTAAGAAGCTACGTACCCTTGAATTTTTTTCTACTGCAAATTGTTGATGGGTTTTTGTCCTTGGTATAAATAGGTGGGGACCAACTGTTTTTGGCATGTGTGTTAGCCCTGCACCCTCCCTGAGTGCCACTCCAGTCCCTTTCCTGTGCCCAGTCTGCCACTGTTTTCTGCTGCTTGTCCTGCCAGGTATCTGCCAGGTCTTCTGCTCTGCTTTCCTCTCCCGGTCTTATCTGCCCAGTGGCAGAAAGTGCTCTCTGTCCTCTCCCCAATCTGCTGCATGCAGAGGCTGCCCATGCCATTTGTGGTGTGCGCGCCACAGGTTGGCCACCCTAGTGTAAATAAGTTGAGCAGTGGCAAACACAGCTTCGCGGGGATGCAATGGGAGTTTTGAAGGGCTATTTGAAGGTGCGGGTTTTTTAAATTATTCCCAGCATTTCGAGCAAAGTATCCAACATCAATATTCTCTAAAAGCATCCTAAACAGACCAACACCTGAAATATTGGCTTAAGTTATATTTTTCACATTTCTGAAGTGTAGTCTTTAAGAACAATGCCAAAAATCACGAGTTGACAATACTGCAGACATTTTGCTTTGTCAAAAATTGTCCTTAGTTAGAGATGTCTGTGCTAATTGCTTTTGCCTCCAAGAAACCCTTGATTATATTTCTCTTTTTTACTTGTTAAAGAGAAGTGTATCTGGCTCTTTCGAGGATGCCTGCCTACACTTCTAATGGTCTTCTCAATCCCTTCCTGCAGGTGTCGGTCTGATTGCATCTGGCCAGTGTGATGTGGTCGTAGCTGGTGGTGTGGAATTAATGTCGGATGTGCCCATTCGTCACAGCAGGAAGATGAGGAAGGCTATGCTCACTCTTAACAGAGCCAAAACCTTGAGCCAGAAGCTGTCCCTGATTTCCAGAATTCGCCCCAGTTACTTTGCTCCTGAGGTGAATCTCCCCCTGTCTCAACATGAGTTGAGAGGTGGTGCAATGGCATTTAACCTGTCACTGCCAAGCCACTCATGAAATAACTTGCTTTCAGAAAAATAACTTAATTTTGCCCCAGTGGAGCATTTATCGTGGCAAAGATAAAGTGGGGTCAGGTTGCCAACTGTGGCTTCCCCGTACTATAGCACTTCCTAGGCTTCAGGGCAAAATGGACAGTGAGTTTAAATCTTTGAATGTTCTGATCTCTGCAGTTACCTTCAGGGTTCCTTGACAATCGCTGGATTTCAAAATACCTGAATTCCTTACGATACCTCTCTCCTTACAGCTTGTTTATTGAAGACAGAATGACACGCTATTTTGGCAGTCTAAATCCCTGGCAAAAGTTTTAGAGGGGCAAAGTGAGTCATTCTTCAGGTTAGCAGCAGTAACACATCAGGACAACTCTTCCAACCATAGAACATAAAGAGTATTCCTCTCCTGTATTAGTGGGATCTTGGCACTTGGCTCTTAAATGCATGTGTCATTTAGCCTCTCTGGCCCCTGAGTGTTTTTGGCTCCCAAGTTCCAGCCCTGTGTGAGTGAGGGTGGCTGGCTTGTCGTAGCCGACCCATGGCATAAAGGGAGCTGGTTTACTCTCTGTCATGGTCTGAAGCAGTTGGCAATGCAGAGCTAAGGGGGTAGGTAGGGAAAGGGTTTTATTCCCTGTGAAAGAATCCAATTGCTTCAGGAGCTCTGTCCTTGCTGGAGAAGATACTTTCGCACTCACAGTATTGCTGAGACCTTTTATCCTCAGTTAATGGTTTGAGTCCAGACCAGCACAGTGGAGATGGAGATCCACGTCTGAATGTAGCAAACCCAAGAAATGGAGAAAGGCTCATCTAAATATATTCGAGGCTTTTGTCTTTCACCTGTGGGAATAAACTCATCTGCTTCTGTTTGTGATGGGGACGTACTAAATCCTAAAAAAGGATGTTTTGTCTTTAGCTTTCCCTCCAGTACCGTCTGTGGGGGTGGAAACTGCACTGCTGCTCTGGGATCCAGAAGTGCTGGCCAGGGTTTATCCTAGCACCTGCAGTCTCTGGTCCACACATTCAGTTCCTGAGCAGCTGCTGTCAGACTGTAAGGGAGTCTGGTACAGTGTTCACAGCCCCTGGCAAGTAGCCCGTTTGCCATTTATGTAGTCCAAGCCTGAGCATTTCTGCTTTAAATTTGTGCTTCCAAAGTGGGGAACCTTCTCATTTCTTGGTCTAGTCGTGGCTCCTAATGTATTAAACTAGTGGTATATGGTAGCCTGTACTGTAACTGCCACTGGACCTTGCACTTCTGTTCTTTAGCTCCCAGCTGTGGCAGAATTCTCCACCAATGAGACGATGGGACATTCAGCAGATCGGTTGGCTGCCGCTTTTGCAGTATCCCGTGTGGAGCAAGATGAGTATGCCCTGCGTTCACACACGCTAGCTAAGAAGGCCCAGGATGAGGGTTTGCTGGTGGATGTGGTGCCTTTCAGTGTGCCAGGTAAAAACAAGTCTGCTTTAGTATCAACACGGATTAGTGTTGCTTGCTTTCTAAAGGAAATGCCCCAGGCTCAGGCTGTGATCTTAATCAAGTGATCTATTTACTAAAGCTTTAGGGCAGGGCAGAGTGAGTCATTGACAGATCAGCAGTTGAGTCAGATTTAAGTAACAGCAAAATGATGGAGCCAGCTGACTACTTGAAAGCCCTTCTGGGCAATTTAGTCTTTGATTCAGATCTATCCTGTGGCAGTATTTCAAGACTTGTAAATCAGAAAACGGATTTAAATGATCTCATTTTGCATTTGTACCTTTTGTAGTTACTTTCCAAAGCACATTCGGTTCTCAGTTACCAGTAAAACAGTTGGTAACCAGCAGAACATTGATTTGCAGCTTGAGTGTAGTCTCTGTACTCAACTTGGTACTTTTCATTAACCAGAGAGGTGCATGTTCTCTACATCCACGCTTCAGCAGTTGTACAACTTTTTTTTTACCATTTTGTTTTATTTTTTTAAGTAATAATCTTTTTAATTTACTGGGGGATATTATTATTATTATTATTTGTGGCTTGCATCATGCTGCATTTGTCTGGAAATTGTAATTCACTAAAAATGCACAAAAGCAGCATTTTGAAACAAGTGGTAGTTAAACGAGACTACCTTTTAATTTGCTGAAAAAGTAAGAAAAGGTTACATTCAAAAACATTTGGATAAAAACTGACTCATTCTCCATAGTGAGTGGGTTGAACCAGTTGTTTCATATGATCGTGTTCTTACTTTGCATCTGATTTGCATACATGGATTGGAAGAGGGAAATGATTTCCTGGGCTTTCAAGT